AAAGTTTTATTTAATTATTTTAGCATTTTAAAAAAGTAAATCAGAGCTAAAAAAGTGTAAAAACGCAGGCAAATTTGTCTGTATTCTACTACAATCTAAGGGATAACAGTATCCACTTAGCCAATTTAGCAATAAGTCGTAATCATTTTATTATCACAACCGGTACGGAAAAGTAATAAACAAATATCTTTTTATTATGTCCCAGACACATTAACAGTACTAATATCTTTATTTCCACTAACCAACCTAGTAAGTTTCAAACTTACCAAGAGCCCAACTCAAATTACCAAACTCAAAAGACAAAAAAAACTACTAGAGAAATAAAATACATATCGTTCTATGAATAAACTCTAAAATAAACTATAGTCTATTTATAGTCTAATTAAAGTATGCTTTATACTTCACATAAACTATTAAAATATTATACACAAAAGTATATAAAAGCATAAAGAAAGTATAATGGGTAAACAAGCAAAGTTTAATTGTGCGTAATAGTATCCTATAGGAAGACTTTACTGTTTAAATTAGTTTAATTTTACAATTTAAAGTACTTTTTTAAAAAAATAAAATATGAAAAATGAGCAACAAAAAAGAAGTACTGTATATAGAAAGTTTTTATTAGGGTTGTAGGACTCTATATAGTATTAAATCATTTCTGGTTTTAGAAAAGTTAGCATGGTAATAACCTAATTCTATTTATCTTTAAGAAGTGCTATTATGCTAACTTCTCTAAAACCAGAAATGATTTTTAATATCAGAGTCCTACAACCCTAATAAAGCTTTCTATAGTATCACCAACAAAATATGTATGTAACGGTAAACACTGCTTAATATTTGCTAGTATAAGATTATAAATCATGAGATTATCAATAAAGAAATAATTGAAATTTTATTTATTCAAATTATTCATTTAAGATCTTGGTTACATCTCAATTTAAAAATTAAAATAAACTTATCTTAATTTTTTTTTAATCTACATAAACTTCAAATTTAAATTCAATGCTGCAGAAAAAGTTTTTTCTCATTATAAATTTTGTTGTCTGAATTTATACTCTTTCCACTCTCTAATTGTAATCATAACTGCATAATCATCATATTTATTATAATCGCAATTTATGACAGTTACTGTACAATTACCTGAAAGCAAATTTTCCAAAAAGATAATACCAACTAGATTTGCCAGAATTTCCTTGCGGAAATAGCTTTTAGAAACTCGAGTTTCATTGTAAAATGTATATCAAATATAATAGTAATATATTAGTAAATTTTAATGACATTGGTGTGTGCAAAAATTCATTAATGTACAAATGCGGTATGTTATAATTTTTTAAATTATTTAACCCTACAATATTCCTAGTGCTTTACCAAGAATTTCATGTCTTAACCTAATGACTATAACAATGATTCTTTCTTATCACAAATTCAAGCTTGTATAAACTAATAGATCTTTTTTTTCACTTTACGTTAAAGCCATCAGGCTCTTTTGCATTGACTATTCATTTTCAAATATAATATACAAAAAAAAAATTTTTTTTTATAAGTACTAGTAACCAAATGATTCTAAATTATCATTACACAAATAAAAAAACCTTGAAGAAACCTACTAAACATTAGATGGGGCCAAAGAACTGTTGATAGAATTAAATAAACTAAGTATATCTTGAATAAGATTATATAAACAAGCAATTATGTGAATATACCCATGATAAACAAAAATAAAGTATGATTTGAGAACTTAAATAGATAATAAATCTGAATTGAATCTCTTGATTGTTGTAACACACAGAGCAGACAACTATTTCTTTAAATAGCCCAATATTAATTCATTAAAAAAAAAATAAAAAAATATATAAAAAAATAACAAAAATAAAAATAAAATAAAATAATAAAAATAAAATAAAATAAAATAAAGAAAATAAATAAGAAAGTATTACCGTAAAATTGCATATACAAGGCTCTCCAAATAATAGACTCAAACCTGGCCTATAATATAAATAAAATTTTGGTGAAATGAAACAGACCTGAGTATATTATAAGATACTGGGTATGATATTAGAACATAATATATGCTACATAAATTCAATAAGTTTCTGATTTTCCCCATATAAAGTCTGACCCGATTACTAGACCAATTCTATACAGCAGATCTCTGGGTCTATTAATGGTTTTAAAATTGGTAGAATATACCAGACCTGATGTTGTATATGCACTTTTATAGTACTTAATCAAATTGTAAAGTCTACCAGATGAAAAGTGAACAATATAATCTATTTGAATAAATAAATAAATGATTAAACTCGATTAACAAAATTGTAATTGAAAAAAGATGCCCTATTAGAAATATTAACTGACAATACGCAGATGTTGCTGAAACTGGAGGTTGGTCAAACCATCCTATTGGCTAATTTATAAATTGGGGTGTATAATCTAGATATTTAAAAATTTTTTACATTACTTATTTCAGAATCAATTTCTTTTTTAAATTTAAATAATGTTAATTCTGAAATTAAACATTATATAACTTAAAGCTTGGCAGAAAACAAAGCAACTATGCATAAAAAAAAAAGAAGTTTTTTATACCTTGTTCTGATGTTGAGATTGATTATTAAATTATAGTAACATTATACTTGGTAAGAACCAATGGTTAAATTTTCAACTTTTTGAGTATTACCTCTACTCTATATTTTCCTAATTTTTAACATATGAAATATTATATTAATTATGATGCAATGAGATTTTGAACCTTATAATCAAATCCTGGTGAGGTTCACTTTACTGTATTAATATCATCAGGCTTTTTTTTTTAATAATCGTTTAGATATATCAATTCTTAAAATTATTACTTGCTATCATCTATGTTTTTTTCATATTACGACGAGTTATAGTCCCTATCGTTAAATAATACACCACAAAACCAAATAAAATTTTGAATTTGAATCAAATATTTGAAATTATTTGATCAAATTTTTAATCAATAATTTCAAGTATTTGATTCAAATTCAAAATTTGATTTGACTTTGCAGAGTACTATTATTAGCTCTGTGGTATCATCATTCCACCCTTCCCACATTCTGAATAAAATTTCATATATTCAATTCTAATGCTACTTTAATTTTTTAATAATATTAATTTGCTGAATGTCTATAATAATTTCTTTATAGAATAATTTGCAGGTTTTACTCAAGATTATGAGAACCAAACTAATAATAACTTATCTGTAAAATTTACTCTAGATTATGGATTTTTTCTTTCCTATAATAGAATGTCCTCGGGCATTTAGATTAGGATTAAACTAATACAGGTTTACTAAATACTGATCTTTTCGAAAGTAGTTATATATATTGTTTTAATAATAGAGTTGTATAGTAAGGGTCTTACATGAAATTCAGTAATATGTTCTAACCATTCTACCCATATCATTGACATGTTGCCTTCATTGTTTTCATCTACAGATGCTTCCCTATTAATATCCATTTAATTTTGTCTTTAGAGGTTCATTTTTTATCTAGTACTCTGCAAAATCAAATTAAATTTTGAATTTAATTCAAATATTTGATCAAATTAATTAAAAATTTGATCAAATAGTTGATTTAAAT